TTCTTTTGAATAATATAATTTATTATTCTATATATCATTTAATAAAATTATAATTATTTCTTTTCTGTAACTTTTGAAAAAAATTCATAAGCAAAAAAATAATTGTTAGATTAGAAAAATATAATACTCACTGCTGATAATCACCTCTGGATGTATTTTGATTAAAGTGGTCAGCATTTTTCATTACTTTTGGCAGTATTTAATTAAAATTGGGCAGTAAAAAATATAATTTTGCAAGTTTTATAGTGATTCTGTATTCAGTCAGTTAAATTCTTAAAGTAGGTAAATACTTCAGTAAAATAATTTTTATTAAATAGAGGGTATCAGATTGAATTGCTAATTTCCTATTTAGCCACAAAATTTATAAAATTATATTATTTAATAGCTTATCCTTGTAAAAACAAAAAGGGGCGCTATTTAAGAGTCAGTAAACTGTGAAAAGCCTTTTATCATATTTCTAAAAAAATGATTAAAATTTGTGTAAAAATAATTTTTCAATAAATACCTAAAAGTTGATGAAAGTGTGTAAAGGTGAACTAGATTTATTTAACTTTCGTTTTATTATTTAAAATCTCAAATCCTCGAAGAAATTTGACTTTAAAAAACATTTCTATTTAATTAAATACTGCAGAGCAGATCCGGGTCACGGGATTTTTTTTCCGGGGAATTATTTTCCTAGATTCAAATTTACTAGTAATATAATTTGAAAATTGTTCATTTTTGTTTTATATATCTATAAATACATATAAAACATAATCCCAAAAAATATTTTAAAAATATCGTGGTTTGGCGGATAACCGACTCGTATATGTTTTACTCGTAATTATAGATATATAAAACAAAAAATGAACATTTTTCGAATCATATTACTAGTAAATTTTATCAATCGAATATTTAGTAAGTGGGGTTTTGAGCTCGGCAATCAGTCAAATCAAATTATTTTCAAAATATTTTTTAGGATAATGCTTAGCACGTATATATATACGCGTATAATACAAAAATGAAGATTTTTCCATGGATAACGCCAGCAATGCAGTATTTGGTCATTCGGTCGGTTTTCGGGTCAAATCACGATATTTTTAAAATATTTTTTGGAATTATGTTTTATACGTATTTATAGATACATAAAACAAAAATCAACATTTTTCAATTTATCTTAATAAGTGGTCGGTTTTGAACTCGGCAATCGGTCAAATCAAATTATTTTCAAAATATTTTTTAGAATAATGCTTAGCACGTAAATATACACGTATAAAACAAAAATGAAGAGATTTTGATAAATAACGCCAGCAATATTTACTTTAAAAAATTTCCATTGTTTTACTATTCTAAACCTACTCATTAAACATCAAAGAAACCTAAAAAAAATTTTTAATTTTTAGGTTTTTCATATGTATATATATACCCAAATATAAAAAAAGTGCTATCCAATCATCATTCCGGTTTCCTAAAATGATACATATTAAAACATATAACGCCCTCTTACGGATATATATTTGTTAATTTTTAAAATTGAATAAAATGTATATTTGTTTTAATAAGCTAGAAAAATAAATTTCTTATTAATAATATTAAATAAAAATAAAATTATATACTATATCATTTAATCAGTATTCTTCATTTATAATAAAAAAAATGATTTAAATATATTTTAAAAAATTATCATTAAAAAAATATGCGTAATAAATTTTTGATTGATTTATAATTAATTATGATTGATTGCTTTTTAGCAATGCAGTTTAGCAATGCATTAACAATTCAATGTATAGTGGGGAAATTTTTTCCGGGGAATTATTTTCCAGGGGAATTTTATTCCGGAGAATTATTTACCTAGGAATTATTTTCTGGGGAATTTTTTTCTGGGGAATTATTTTCCGGGTATTTTTTTCCGGGGAATTATTTTCCTGTGGATTTTTTTCAGGGGAATTAATTTCCGGGAATTTTTTTCCCAGGGAATTAATTTCCGGGGATTTTTTTTCCGGGAATTTTTTTTCTAGAGAATTAATTTCCGGGGATTTTTTTTCCGGGGAATTATTTTCCGCTTACCTACAGATGTAAACTGTATCCTGTATTTTGCCAGGGGAGAATCACTATTATAAGAATTTTCGCCCCATAAATTTTATTCGTAGATCCACCTTTGTAGGCCATTGGCTAGGTTAAATTTTTATAAAAATAACATTGGTTTTTCATTCTTCCTAAATGTTTAATTATAGTCGTTATTTAAAAAAATTATTATTCTTATTTTCTTTCAAATTCTTATTTATAGTGTGATATATTGATAGATATCGGAAAATGGGGTGGTGTGTATAGGAGGGAATTTTTTTAGCCTAAAATGTTATTTACGAGAACAGGCAAATTTTTTAAGGGGGGGGGGCTGCTCCTATGTACAGAATTTAATATGAATTCTAAATCTGACACTTAATGTTTATGATATTCTAATGATGAAATATAAATTGTACAATCCCCTTCTAAAAGTATTACCAAAGAGACTGTTAAAATACCTTAGCCAATCAAAAAGTTTTTTGGATTTCACATAATGAAGACTGTTTAGGTTCACCTTTGAAAGCATTTGTTAATATATATTTTTATAAAAATCATTTTGGTTTTTCACTCTTTCTAAAAATGTTGAATTATAGTCGTTATTTAAAAAAATTATAACGTTTACTTATTTTTCTTTCAAATTCTTGTTTATAGTGTGATATATTGAATATATCTTGGGGAGGTGTATGTAGGAGGGAATTTTTTTTAGCTTAAAATCTTATTTATGAGAATGGAAATATGTGAATTCTGACTCTTTAAAAAACTTATAATATATTTTTAAGTATGCAATGCTTCCACCGTATTTCTTAGAGGATTACTAAAAAAAATAAATCTTTTAAACCATTTAAATTCTGAAATTAATTGGCCTTCAGATACATTCATATCCTTTGAATATAATTTAGCTAAATATTTAATTTATCAATATCAAGATTTGAATCATCAGATCAGAGGAAGTATGTGATATAGTATTTGTAAATTAGATAGAGCCAATTGATAATGTTTTGAGTCAAAATTAAATTCAAAAGTGGAATAAAAACGGTTATTTTATAATGATCCTCAATTGAGCCCTTAATATTGGAAAGATTTGGGGTGTTTGAATCAATAACAATTTATTAAATTGGAAACCAATTACATTTTAAATAATGATAATAAGTTATTTTTAATAAAATTATAAGTATTTAAAAATTTTAATTAAAGGTTCAATAATTGATTGATGTGTTAAAACTGTGGGTAAAACAGTTTCAGGTAAAGCTAAAGATATCTAAGAAGTCAAGGCCGAATTTAAAAGGTTATCTTTAGGAGTGATAAAAGATATCATGGCTTGTTCATCTAACGTGATGGCAAAAATGATGAAAAAGATATAAGATATAATTGGATATAAATGTAAATAATCCATTTTTGAGAGTAATAGTGAGCAACTCTAGTATAACTAGAGCTCTGCAAGGGTTGCTCTCTGACAATAAAGATTTTTTTTTCTCGGTAACCCGACATGGAAATTAAAAATTAGAAATATTCATAATAATAATTTTGTTTCAGTTAAATGTCAGTCAGAATCATGTTATTTTTCCTAAATTTACATTTTGTGACTAGTTAAGTTATTAATTCTGATTCTATCTATGATTATATACAAATTAAATAAAATGTTATACTGGGTTAGCAACTTTATTTGACTATTGATAATAGCCTATTGGTGGTTAAATATACTTTTTTTTAAAGTGGCAAAATGTAAATAAATACACATAATTTTTGATTTCTACTTCGATATTCTAATATATAAAGTCAAATTCCATAATAATTTTAATCTTCAGGCTCGGGTGGGGCTGGAACAAAATATTGGCGCTCAGGCTTGGGTCGGGCTCGAACAGCGAAATTTTTTAAAGTCTAGCTCGGGTCGGTTTCAGACCGCAAAATGTTACTTTGCAGGGCTCTTGATATAACCATATCAATAAAGAAATTAAACTAATTTTCATTTGGGATAGAACTAAATTGTTATTAATTCATTTTTTCTCCAGATTATTTAACTTCATTACTATTTAATGGGGATAAAAGTGTATTTTGCATTTTGTCAGTGTTCCGTTTCGGTTTTAAATAAGTTTCGGAATGTTCAATAATCTTTATTAAATTGAATTATTATATTAAATGTTCTAATTTTACTGCTCCTGACCATTTTTTTAAGATTATCAATATATAATTAAAAACTATAAAATCATATTCTAGGAAAAAATATTATATTTTAAAATATATGTTTAAACCAAACAACTTAGTAATGCAGTAAGACAATCTTATTATATAGACTGCGGAAAAACATTGTAAGCCAACCCTACAACAAGTCTACCAGTTATTTTATAAAGGCAGGAATTCTCTCCATCTTAGAACTAATATGTTTCTATAAGCTTTTTAAAGGCCAGATAATATAAACCTAACTCTTGTCAATAGTCTCCTATAGCCGATGACTTCACCTTCATCAAATTCTCGGCCAAGTTCAATAATTAGCACTTGGATTTGGTCGATGGAGAAAAACATAAAAAACAAATATTCTGACCTGAATGATATCATTTTATAATAATAATAATAACAATAAAATATAATCTACTCTAATGCCCACTGCGAAATATTTATTTTCAAGCAAACTTATATTTTTTGCGTATTCAGATGAACGGAATGCAATTGTTTTTATAGTTATTCGTAATTATCTTTCTTTTTAGTCGTTTTTTTAGAAATTATTTTCTTATAGTCACTATTTAAATAGATTATCGATGTTTTTTAATATTTCATTTTCAAATATACGTTTATCCAGTCTTTAAGTAGGTGTTGAAATTTCTGAAGGTTGCGAGACTGCAGTACAGCTAATCAGAATACATTCATTTAGAAATTTTGATATATCAGGACAATATTATATTTTTATTTATATAAAATCTGGATAATAAATATACAATAAGCAAATTCTTTTACAAAAAAAACAAATTAAATGCGATTGATTATATTAATTTTTTACCGGATATATATATATAGTTGGCAGTATTGTTGATAATTGCATAGTTTAAACAGCCTTTTGGCAAACTTGACATCTTCCTACTTTAGATCGTAAATTTCCAGATTTTAATGTTTGCGCTATTGGCTTTGCAAATTGTTGAGAATCTTCAATAGTAGTTAACCAAAAACTAAATTTATTGGCAAAATAATGGCATGTCCCTCTTGCCCCATTACATTCTATGAAGGGAGTTGTTCTAAAATCTTCTAAACAACTGCCAGGGCTTGATAAAGTTTGACCACCTCCTTCTCCACCAGCAGCCGTATGCTTAAAAATATTGTAAAAAATTAAACAAAGTAAAGCAATTTACCATTGTAAAGCTATAACCAATCCATAATCCAGTCCAGCCGGTAGGGCACTCCGGTATATTAAGTGATTGACTATGAACAGCTAAAATATTTGAGGGCGATTCACATACAGCGCATTTACTAACATGAGGCTTTATTTGAGTGTCTCCTACTGGCATCATTGGAATAGGGGCTGATGTAGAGAGCCAATATGATTTATCGTTTCTAGTTGCATAATCGCATATATTATTTGTACCGCAAAATAAAAATGGCATAGTATTAAAATGTCGTACACATGAGCCAGCTGAACCTAAAAAAATAATAAATGTTAAAATTTTTCATATTTAAAATGTAACCTAAATCTTGATTATGAGCCTTTTCGTTTCCCTCAAAATATAATAGACTGTAGCCATCCCATAATTTATTTTGACCAGGTGGGCATTGAGGTGTCTCTGGAGTTTGACTATGGCGCGCATATAAGAAACCAACAGGGGGAATCATACCAGGAGAGCCAGATATACCATTTATCCCTGGATAACCTGGAGGGCCTGCAAATAATAAGCAATTGAGATCTTTCAAATTAAATAAATTAAATATTTACCAGCAGATCCTTCTAATCCAGGTGGACCTGGTCTCCCAGGATTACCTCTCTCACCACCTAAGCCTGAAGGTCCGGGTATTCCGTCTATGCCTGGCAAACCTATTTCACCTTTGAATCCTAGTCGTTTTTATTTTTTATTATTAAATAATCCGTTATATATATATATTTTACTTATTCTGATTATATTTGAATAAAAGTGACCTAAACAATATGATATCTTATGATCTGCCATTTTAAAAAAGGTTGAAATAGTTATATTTATAAAATAAATATATATAGTAGAGCCCTGCATCGATAGTCTGATTAGACATGGATGGGACAGGACGGTTCTTTTTTCAGACAACCCTAACCTAAATTATTCGATATTTTTTTTAAAATGACTTTTTATATTTTATTATGATATATTTTACAGCTTAAATTTTTCAATTCATGGAAAAATAAATTTAATTTAGTAAGATTAAGAATTACAATATTTTAAATTTAAAAAAACTGAATGGTGTTAAGTAATCAAAATACATTTGTCAGAATCAAAATAAGTTTTGAATATTAAATAATTAAAATTTAGATGTAGGTTTTTAAAAATTAATTAGTCTGAAATTTATTTTTAATTAAATTTTAAGACCAAATTTAGAGGCTAAGCCACTTTAAAAAGAATTAAATTATACCTCGATCTGATGCAAAGCTCGTGTAGTATATTTATAAATAATTAAATCAAGCAACCAATAAAAGTAATGTATTTCTGTTTTACTCAGGGTTGGCTAGTCTCAATTAACCTGTCAAATATGGTCAAATGACTAAAAGTTCATTTGACGACAGGTCAAATATATCAAATACTCTTGTAGTGCTGGAAAATAATGTCGATGGAAGTAAAGCGCTTAATTAACGGCTTTATTTTTGAGAGAAAGGAAATGTCATTCGTTACTTGTTTCAAAAAGTAATGACTAGAACGTTTCTTTTTTTTAATAAAGGCAACATATTTTCTTAAAAGTAAAAAATATTTTTTTTATTTCATTAATAATAGCTTTTAAACTAAAAAAAACTAAATGGTGCTAAGTAAAAATAATAAAACCAAAATAAGTTTTGAATATTTAAATAATAAAAATTTAGTTTTAGGGTTGTTAATTTTAGGATAAATAAATTTCGAGGCTGAGCCACTTTAAAAAAAATTCATACCAGATCCCTGGTGTGATATATTTATATTTAATTAAATCGAGCAATTAAAGTAATGTATTTCTGTTTTATAGTCAAATACGGTAAAATAAAATATATAAAATACTTATAAAAGTTATTTTTGTAGTGCTATAAAATAACATGAAAGTAACGCGCTTTATTGACGAAGTTATTTTTGAGGGAAAGGAACTCCATTCGTTATTTGCTTTAAAAGTTAACGAATAGCACGTTTCTTTTTTTGTGAGTAATGGAAAGCAAAATATTTAAATATTTTTTTTTATTATATATATTTTTCAAAAAAATGAATTAGCCAAAGAGGGTTAGAAAGTCTCTTAACGTTGAAGACTATAGAAGAGATAAAAGGCATAAATATTTCATCCATAAGTCATGGGCAGTTTCAAATAGACTATTCTACCACAATCTTACTTATAACTCCTCGCATTGAAGATGAGAAGAGAGGAAGGTAGACAAAGAAAATTTGATTACTCTTGAAGCGGAATATAGAATATGGAAATTGTGATATGTTATCAAGACTACCATTAGCCGTTAAACAAATAAGTGAATGAACCTACCAGACATCAAAAATATGGTATATGATCGGTATATGATCAATTAAAAGTTATATCAAATATATAAGTTTAATAAGAAACCGCAAGTGATCCAATCTTGTCAAGAGTAGCCAGATATGTAACAATGTAGAAAATCGACGAAAATATACAAAAGTTTTATTTAAAAAAAGATGCTTTAAATTTTTTATCTTCATCATTAATTATATTTACATTATGGATTACTTGTTCTAAAATATTCGGTTAATTTAAATTATCTCTACCAAATATTTTCGCCACAATAAAAAAAATTAAATTCATATCTTTAATTTTCAAAATTATTTTTCCTAATACAATAATATATTATTTGTATATGATTTTAAAATAATATTTGTTTCAAAGTTTTCTTATTTAGTAATGATACACCGTATCTACCAAAATAATAGGCAAATTATAACATAAAATTTTCAAAGGAAAATTATTTATTTGTTTTCTTCTTCCTTTCCCATATTCACTCTTTTTTTAAATTCCGATGATTTTTTATACCACATCTGTAACAAGTTAAAATTTTCAAACTACATGGAGGCTTCATATTAACTTTGCTATAACCTTCACACCTACGTCCTTTTTAAATTTCCCCATTCGATTACTGATTAGTTTGCTTGATAATATATCTTTAACTAATCAATTATTTCGGTATATTTTAATTGTCCATTTAGGATAGCAAAATTGTAGATTATGATATACATCAGTACCCATCATAATCAAAAAAGTTAATCGTTTTACTTATTCATCTATAGGTATTCAGTGTCCATTATAGTGATCTTTGCAATATATTTAAATTTAATATACATAAATTATTTAAGCCGAGTTTTCAATCAGATCAACTAGATCTTCATTTTTATTTTATTTTTGTTGTTGAATTATTATTTAATCAATCAAGGGTATGTTAATGTATATTATCTATTATTATAGTTTATTTTATAAAGAATATATATCAATGGCAATTATTTCTTCAGATAAAGATGATTTAATTCTGCCCTGGCTCCAGTCTGTATATATAAATAAAGAATAAGGGCACAGCCTAGATTGTGCCCTAATTCAAATATTTTAATCTTAATATCTAGCAGCTCAAATCTAAAAAGAGATATAAAGCTAAAAATATAAATTCAGACTAAATTCTGATAAAAATAAAAAAATTAAGATAATCTAGTAAGATTTTTTGAAACATTCTTTATATTTATGATAAACCCCCAATTAAGATTTTTATTTATTAAATATAATACAACTCGCCTAGCCTATGCGAAAGTTGAACGTGTGCTTAGTACAGAGAAAGCTGTGTTGTACTAAGCGCTCTTGTTTATCTGATAAAATTTTGATAATCATTTGTTAAAAATAGAAAAAAAATTATTATAAAAAGATCTTATCTTATAACATATTATGAAAATTTATATATAATATTAAGTTTTTTTAAAATAATTAGTTACTTTTTTTGAGGAGTTTTTAAGACTCTGGTAATAAAAAAGCTCTAACATATATCAGTAAATTATTCAATATCTTGTTCACTAGAAGAAGAAAATGAAACACATGCTTCAAATAAGTAAAGAATCTTAATAGGTAGTATCTATAAATTCAGATGTCAGCATCAATCTGGTTAAGAGATTTTCCCCACCTTGCCTTTTAAGGGAAGTGAATGTTGTATTAACCGGGCTCAAGTTCACCTTATACTACTCCAAAAAGAAATTAGTGAGGCAAATTTAAGCAAAGAACCTAAATCGATATAAAACTTTGACTATGAGAAAATTAGTTATAACTTACGATTAATTAAAAATATAAAATAATAATTATAATTTAATTAAAATCCGGAAAAAGACTATGGGGTATGACGATGTCACAGTCTAAATGAAGGTCTAATTCATTACAAAGTTCTTCGTTTGGAAAGGAGCAAACCAAGGTTGAAGCTAGGGATCCTCGAGCCATTCATAACCTAAATTATTGTTAGATTGCTGAGACGAAGAATCACTACTTTGATTTAATGAGGAGTTAATACTAGGTAGAACAAGGAAAGACCCTTTAAAAAACGTTTGAGTAAAGAAATTCAACGAAATGCTGGATTAAGGGTAAGTCCTAGTATTGTCATTCATTAATGACATATATTTTATATATTTACTATTATATTAGGGAGACATGGTTTTAATTGTATATATAGTCAATGAATACAGCGATTAATTCAATTATTAACCGTTCTCTTACGAGGTCCACCAAATACCAAACATACTGGAGCCTGCTAATTTATTATCAGATAATGGCCTAAGATCAGATAGTTTAACTTCTATACATTGAGTTTTTAGGTAAATCCTCAATTTGGGTCTTTACATGAGTCTCTTCATTTCCAAAAAATGTAAATTCTAATCCAGTTGATATAACCGAGAAAAAAAATTACATATTCGAAATTAACAAATTAAATATTTTACCAATACTTGGACATATGTAAAGCGAAACTTTAAAGTTTTTAAAAAATATAGGCAAAATTAGAGGCCTTACATCAGAACCTAAGGAATTTTATTATATAAAATAAAATATTCAAATTACTATTTTAAAATAAAATTATTTATGTTTTTTGGGAACTTGTAGTCCCAATTCCGTTATTATAGAATGAGCGCCTTTTTATTTATTATATTATAGCTTATGATTAGAATTATAGGTATTATGAATTATTACATTATGAAATTATGTTAATAAAATTATACACAAAAAAAACAAAATAAAGTAAATACTGTCATAAAAATAATTAATTGAATCTGGCCATATATTTGACCGGTCAAATATCGGACAATTTACTGGTCAAATACCAAACCCTGGTTTTCTAAAACTAAATAGTTATATTACAGAACTTAACAAATGAATTTTTTATTTTCACTATTAACATTTAAATATAAAATATTAATTAACATTTAAAGTGTTTTATGTAATGATGAATTAGCATAAAGTATAAACCAGGGGATCCAGCTAATCCAGGGAATCCATCAGGACCAGGTAATCCAGGCAATCCCAACATACCGTCTGCTCCAAGAGTACCCTTTGGTCCTATTAATTGATTTTCGGATGGCAAATAACCAGGATCCCCGTCATACCCCTTTTCCCCATCGCGACCTTGTTTTATATAAATATAAATTGTTTTAAGCGTCTATAGCTTATAAAATTTGTAAAAAATGTTTTTCTTTTTAAAAAATTTTTTTTTATTGCCATAAAGATCTTTTAAAAATAAAATATGCATATTATTAAATAAAAATATTTATGAATATTATAAATATATAGGTATTTTATTGAATGGAATACATATATGAAGTTAAACTAAGTTTAAAATTATATAAATTTAGGTTAGTTAGTTATTTTCCAGTTAAGTTCACATATTTTGCTAAAATACGCAAGTTTTATTAAAATTTCCAATTTTTTAAAAAAAATTTTATAGTTGGTCATGGCCCGCATAATCAGAAATGATTGCTAATTATTTCGCTCAGATACACAAGTTTAATTTAAATTTTTTTTAAAAAAGAGTATTATTTTAAAATAAATGGTATAGTGTGAAATGGAATATCAAATTATATTTTTTTATTTTATATAAATTGAGTCCACGTTGTGCTAGTGTAAAATGGAATTCCATTGGCTAAATTAATTAAATTAGGTTTAATATCGATGTGTTGGCTTGATACTGTCAATTTATTCTTAGTTATTCCGATCTCCAACAAATCTTCTGTCATTCGTTAATTTGATAAGGCATGTATTTTAAGTGATTTTCATAATTAAGAGTGTTCTTCTCATACACATCTAAAATATGATTTTAAAATGTTTGTTTTTCTTCAAAACATCTATAAATTCCTTCATCTTATGTCATATCTATGCCAAATATTTCTTAAGATCTTTGTTTCAAAAATTCTATATCTATAAATAAAATCTCCTTATGTACATCAATAATTAAATTTTATTTTCATATCAACATGTTATTTTGAATTCAACTTTATTTTAGTTAAATCTTATACATCTACCATTATCAATTTTCATATCTAATATATTACAATTTAAAAGACTATATAAACTAATGTTAATTTCATTTTATTTTGAAATAATTCTCCTTCTTTTTAAAATTCTTCTCTTTTTAAAACTTTATTTTTAGCATTAGATTTAGAGATACAAACTCGCAATTATTCGCGCACTAATATTATTTTTATATAAAGTCAAAACTGCCCACTCCACTTTATGAATCTGATATGAATAATCAATTTGCATTTTTTTAAACAATTTATGGTTACTTTTATGATGATAGAATCAAGAGGAATCACCAGAGGTAAAGAGTAAAGATAAAGGTAAGAATTAAAATATTAGGCCAGATATTCATAATACAGTGTTGTGCAGATTTAATTCAAAACATTTCCATATTTTTTAATTCGTTTGTAAATAAAATTATTTAACTTGTTACTGATAAGAAAATATAAATAATTTAACAATTTTTTGCAAGTCAAATAATTTTATTATTTTCAAATAAATTAAAAAATATGGAAATGTTTTCCATTAAATCTGATGAAAACTATGAATATATTAATATTGTAATGAAAGCTTGAATAATACTTAAAGTTACGGGTCTGATTTCTAATTTTTAACAATTTTTTTCTTCTTTTATAAACCAACCTACTCGAGAAGTTACTTAAGGATTAGATATTCCCTAGAGAGGTTAGTAATAATGGTTAATTAAATTTGGCAGTCAGTAGTAATCCAAACAAGAAGAGTAAAATACAATTTGTTCTATTTAGCATTCACCAAAATATTTCGCTTAATCTATAATTTTTATTCTTGAATATCTCCATAAATATAAAAGCTAGAGGCTAAAATTTTGCAAGTTTACATTAACCCTAGTTTGTATATCTTTATGAATATTTAAAGTGATAGACGGAAAATGGTATTTCTTAGTCGATTTTGATAAAAAAGATAATATGGAATAGATAATTTATAATACTAGATAAGGTATATCAATTCATCCAACTTTATATAATTAACCTATTATGACCATATCTATTATTGATGTATTTAAATTAAAAAACCAATATATTTAAATTAAAAAAAATTGATAATATTAAATTAAATAACCTTGAAGCCCAGGATTCCCAGCTAGGCCAGGAAAACCAAATTCACCCACTAATCCTTTCAATCCAGGTAATCCTGGAAGTCCATCTAAACCATAAGATCCATCATCCCCAGATGGTCCCGGTTGACCATCAAGACCTTTTATATGCATATAAAATTAATTTATAAACAATATATTAATTTTCAAATCACACAAAATTTTAATAACTAAATTAAATATTTTGTAATTGGTAAGAAGCTGCCAATTATGGCCATTAATAATTTAAGATATTATTTTATTAATTTAGTATAAAAATTTAGAGTTTTTAAAGAGAATTTATTCAAGTGGGGTTATTTGCATTCTCCTCAAAAAAAATATTCTTGAGGGCTATTATATAATTTGAAAATTTTGCTCCTTTCTGTAAAAATAAATTTAAAGATCATATATATTTTTAGAATTATATTATTGACATTGTGTTATTGAAACTTAAGTTTAATTTAAGCAATTGAATTAAGATTCTGCGAAAATATAATAGCATTCATTTTCTTTATTTAAATAACAATCAATGTTAAGGATGTTAAGGGGAAAAAGTTTTTCTGAATGACAGCTAATATATCTAGTTTAAAAAAAATAAAGTAGACAATTTCCAGGAAGATGCGAATATTTGTATGAAATGTGGAATGAGTAAAAAATAGCACCAATCTTCTTATTTCAATGAAATTAATATATCCAATACTAGATAAGATACCATATATTTATAATCATCTAGGAGTTTTCGTTTTTTGAAAAGAATCAAAAACTATTTTCGGTCAACAATGCGTGATGGTAGGTTAACTTCCTTTTGCAGGGTATCCATTGCCATCGAATCATAGAAAAAGATGAAATTTTGTTCAAAATTTTTTTAAACGTATTTTCACAGTCAAGAAGATTGCAACTAATATTTACGGCAAATTTTTTATATTTTATTTTTAGGATGATAATAATTCATAAGGTTTTATACAAATCTTTTTAAATATAAATTATAACATTTATATTATGCAGAAAAAGTATTACTAAACCACAAAAAATGGCGCAAAAAAAAGTATTTTGTAAAAAATAATTTTTAAACCACGCATAGGAGCATAAATACATGTAAACCCATAATTGGGAAAAAGCATGCAAAATAACGCGGAAAATGACGGAATATCAACAGAAAAACACAAAATATAATATAAAAAAACAAGTAAAAATGGCAATATGCATGCATATGCAAAAACAGCAAGATGTAGAAAACAATAAAAATCTAAATACAAATATTTTTGACCTCTCTTAGAAAAATTCTTGAGCACATAGACTTACACTCAAATCTAGTGGTTCATATTCTTTACTTTATAATGATTAATTTTTATTTGATAATTTGTTTATCACTTAAATTTTAAATTCGTTTTAAAATCATTTTTATGACATTTTTCTTTAGACAAAAATTATTTTTTTTAGCATACTTAGCTAATCGTAATTTTTCATTCTTATTGTGAGAATTTTAAACTTGCCTAATATACTTAAATTCTAACTAATAATCATAAAAAACTTACCATTTTTTGTTCTGAGCTCCATATAAAAAGGTCAATTTTTCTTATTTTTTAAAATAAGTAGCTAAGGAAAATTCTATAACCTAGCAGAAAGCCGAAATCCTGCCAAAAACTACAATTTAAAAAGAATTATTTTGCCTAAATTGTAAAACTATAATATTTTATTAAAAATAAAAAACCTGATGGCCCGGGAGGACCTTGCTGATTAGATAGAGCATTAGCTCCAGAATTTCCAGGTTGGCCCTTTAAACCATTTAAGCCTGGATATCCATCGTCTCCCGGAGGTCCAATCGGCCCAGCAGAACCTGGACTACCTGGAAAGCCAGGAGTACCTGATTCTCCCTTAGCACCTGGGATTCCTCTTGCTCCCATCCCTGGATATCCTGGCAACCCTGGCAAGCCATCACCTCCAGAGAACCCTAATTATAAATGTAATTAAGTTTCAAAATAAAATATTACCTCTGTCTCCTTTTTCTCCATGTAAACCATCTAAGCCAGGAGCACCCGGACTACCCTGTGCTCCCTTAACAGACAATCCTGGGTACCCTTGAGGTCCTGGAGTTCCATTACCACCTGGTAACCCCGGTGGACCAATGGATCCTGGTTTTCCTGCTATTCCATCGGAACCAGAACTGCCCAACTCTCCTTTAGCACCTATAAAATAGATTGTTCAGCGTTGCGCATCAGCAAATATAAAATATTTTAAAAAGATAGAAATAACTATATTTTTTAATAGATATTAATTTTTTTTAATTTTAATTTGTGATGTGTTAGACAATAATATTCACTTCTAACCCTAACACATTCATCCATGATTATATCATCAAGTTAAAATTAAATTGATTTGATATTGAGTAGTAGCATAACTAGAAAGGGGGGCAGGGGTTCGAGCCCCTGAAAAATTTGAAGAGCCCACTGAAATTTTTAATTATTTCAGAAATTACCTTTACCCCCCCCCCCCCTGAGATTGTAAAGGATAGTACGTTACTGATTCTTATTAATATGTTATATAAATTATTTATTTATTTAGTCCTGAAGTTAACGAAACGCCTGATTACAATTTAACGATACAGGATGGCCAATTGCAAATTTTATAAATTGAAATATATTTATTATTTTATTTAATTTGTTGATATTTCTCCTTTTTCGTTACTACTTTTCCATAATTTTCTTATTTTTGAAAAATATGATTTTTAACTTAATTTTTTAATTTTCTTATTTACTTCTACTCTTGTATTTATTTTCTGCACATGTTTGAGTTATTTTTTTTTAAAAAAATATTTTTATTAATTTTTGAGTGTTTTATCACATTTTTAAATTTGTTCGAATTTGGATTCTAGTAATTATAAGTTAAGAAAAAGAATAGATTTTATCGTCTTGGGACGACTCAAGGTGTTCTAAAAATGTGTTACGAGAAACGAATGACATATGTGATCTAAGGTTTGATGTTAAATTAATACAAAAAAATATATAATTGGATACAGGGTAAATTATTTATATTTAAGCATTGTATATAGGTATAAATTTATAAATATGAAGCGTTATGAAGATAACACTGATAAAATTTGAAAAACATATATGGAGATGAGTTGATAAAAAAAATATGCTACGATTATAAAAATGAAGTTGCGGGGCTTCAGTTACTGGTAGTATAGAAGGTGGCACCTGACCAGTCAGTCCATGAGATGGGGTATGAGTCATAGATTATTTAAGAAAACTAAAACGCTTGTATAAATAAATGACATGACTTTATTTTAAATTTTATTAAGTTAGAAAAAAAAAATTAATTATAAAAATTTATAAAACCAAAATTATTTTATCAAAATTATCAATCAAAAATATCTTATTGAAAATAATATTTTAAACTAAAAAAAGTGTATTCATATACATATAAATTAGTCCCTTTTATAGGGAAAATAAAACGCGCAATTATAAATTAAAATAAAATTGCCTCAAAGTGAAAAAAGAACGTTTGCGAGTTGTGTTAGTTTTATCTTACATAATTGGGGATAAAACCTACCCCATTATATTTTCCGGAACTCAAATTATACCTCTGGATGCAGGGCGATCTCCGGAAACTAAATATCTAACTTATATTTGTTGAATACCTTACTAAGGACTTCAAAATTAAGAAAAACACCTGAGTAAAAAAACACAAAAACTATGTTTTACTTTTAATGTGCATAACTCAAACAAAAAAGAGACCTAAAAAAACTTCATTTAATTTTTGTATTTAAGACAAAACAAAAGAAGGGTAAAAAAAATATTTTTTTAATTGAAGTGTACTAGATTAAAATAAAATATGGAATAACATATTTAACAAAAAATAATAGCGAATTCGTTAAAAAGATAAATGATTTTTTATAAATATCATATAAAATAATTATCTCTATTATAGCTTTATCTTAAATTAGTTTTTAAAACTGAATCCTTGAACATAACGCGTTTACTATAAATTAGAATAGGCAAAATTAGGGAATTTTAATATTAAAAAATTGGAAAAATATAAAAATTTTCTAAAACCTAGTTTCATAAAACAAAAATTTGTAAATTAGCTCATTTTATATGTAAGCTGTTACATGTATACAAATAAAAATCACCTTATTGAATTATAATAAATATATTATAACAAAGTTTAACAAAATAAAATATAAACACGAAGGAACAAATATACTGATTAATCACCATACATTGATATAAGTTTTCAAAATGAATACTTTTAGGCTAAGGCCTGTACCAATCATCATTCTAAAATTATAAGTTCGAAAATGATTAGTGTCAATATTAATAAAAGATATGAAAAATTAAATAAGTTTAATTTTTTATAATAAAAAAATCATATCCAGGACTCAATAACAAAATTTATTTTGATAATAATTTTTATATTTATTACTTTAAAGCACACTCTAGACCCTAATAAAACACTATAAATATTGATATAGATTTTAAAATTAGCGCTTCTAATTCGTCCTACTAACTTTTCAAGGCTGTTGATAAATAAAATATCTTAAAAAATAAAAATAAGAAAGGGAAAAGGAAAAGGAAATATATTATACAAAATTTTTAATTTACAATAGAAGGGACCCAGTCGAAGGTCGCGCAAAATGTTTGAGGACGATGCCCCCTCCCCAATCATAACCCTCATGGAAAATCCTATCTATGTCCCTGTCATTGAGACCGAATGTAAAGTGCGACCCCCTTTCCCACACTTTTTTAAAATATAATATAATTATATATAACTTTATCGATATTTTATAATAAAAATAATGGTCTAAATTAAAACGCTTGTGCATCCATTTAATACTGTAATATTGTTTTTTAACACAGACGATGATGAATAATCGTGGGCAGTTTTTTAAATAATAGGCTAATTATTTGTTGCAAAAATAATAACTATGTATGCAATTTTAACAAAATGATTGATAAAGATACCATTTTTATGTATAAAATAATTATAGTTGATAAACTATTCCTAAAAAGTATTCATTAAAGTATTTGTATTTATATATTATTTTGCGAATTTTGAAAGTATTTAATATTTGTATCTTTAAAAAAAAATTCGAACGTATATTTAAAATACTTTATTTTGAATGTATTTGTATTTATCTAAATACTAATTTAAAAATTTTCATATCCCTGGTTATAAATAAATATTTTAAACATTTACATAGGATTTTGAACTTAATCACCAAATAAAAATATTGAAATTACAAATGAAAATTGTAAACAAATTTTTAGAAAAGATATATTGATAGTTAATAAAGTTCTCGATTCATAATTACCAGATACACCTGGATAACCATCTAATCCTCTTTCGCCCTTGAATCCTGGAGTTCCCGGAATTCCTGAATAACCATCGTTACCAGGTGGACCAGATTGAAACGAGGCTATAAATAGAAATATTTTACGAGTTTTTAGATCAAAGATAATTTACGTTGGCCTGGGGTGCCTGAATCTCCCTTTGCGCCCAAAATGCCAGGAAATCCGTCAAGGCCAGATATGCCAGGAACGCCAGCATCTCCTTTCCTACCAGGTGTCCCTGATACACCCGATATACCAATAGGACCTTTGGTTCCAGGCGTTCCTGACGTCCCATCCAATCCTCTTTCTCCCTTTAACCCAATATATCCATCTTCTCCCGGTCCACCATTTTGACCATTGAATCCAGGTAAACCCTAAATATTACATTTAATTTAAAAAAATATTCTATTATTTACCGATTCCCCTTTTAACCCAGGAAGTCCAGGCAACCCATTATCTCCTCCCATTCCTCTTGAACCAGGTGATCCAGGTAGTCCATCAATACCTGCTAATCCCATCTCACCGGACATCCCATTTAATCCGGGATAGGATTCCCCTCTTTCCCCTTTAGCACCAAGTGCTCCAGGATATCCTTTTAAATGCGAATAATAAAAATAACATTTTAAACACATAGTATTATTTTATATATATAAAATATTACCATTAGAACCAGATTTGCCTATAATTCCTGAAAACCCAGAGTTTCCGAGTTCTCCTTTATTTCCTGGCATTCCAGATTTTCCAGGTATACCAGGACTACCAGGAAATCCTTGTGTACCACTTTCTCCCCTATAGCCTATTTATTTATAAATTATAAATTTCGTAAAAATATTATTTTAGACTAAATATTAAATAAAAGAATATTTGTTTATTTTAAATATTTGTATGAAGTTTGTAACGATTATTATTATTGTTACCTTCTTCTGATCAATCCAATGAAAAAATTACATATAATTCATTTTTTGAAATATAGAAATATCATGAAAATAATAAATTTAATTTTATGTTATTTAAATATATATATAAACTAGTTGATAACCCATCAAGAATGACGGGAATAATAAAATCTTGAACTATATATGAATTTTTTTTTAAATACATTTTTTTATATAAAATAAATGACAAATTTTAGTGATTATTTATTCATTTTATTAAATTAAGCATAAAATATATGAAATTGTAATCAAAAATGTAGTGTAGATATTGATAAATTGGTATTGTATGTCATTTCCAGAGTTCAAATATTGTTGAGATAAAATTTTTATACTGGCATAGGGGTGGTAATATGAGATAAATGTATTTGCTAAATATAATTTAAATTTATTTGTTAAATCTAAATTATAAAAGTATTTAGGATTAGTGAGGGAGGTTATTTTCTGGCATGGGAAGATATTGATAAATAGGTATTTTATACTATTTGCAGAGCTTCCATATTGTGGTTGAGATAAAAAAAAATTTTAATGCCATATTTTGGGGTGGTAAATAATAAAAATTTATTTGTTAATTCTAAATTGTAATATAAAAATAAATTTTACTTTGATTGAATTTAAATCTTACGCTAAAATTAATATGAGATAAATGTTGATTTTTCAATTGGCTAAATATAATTTAATTTACTATTTTAAATTTAATAATATTCATTCTTATCATAATTTGAGGTGAAATTAGTATTCTTTTTAATATAACTAAATTATATAAATTAATCGAAAAATTTGTTAATAGCAAATTAATAATGAAAGATTATATTACAAAATTTAATATAGAAGGTGGTTGAGTGGGAGGAACGTTTTGCTTTAAAACGTTAAGTCATAGGTTCGAATCCCGTGATGTACAAAAAATTTTCTTAAAATTTAACATTACAGATATATAGTCTCCAGATTTATTTAACAATAAGAAGATAGGAAAGTTGATAGAAAAAATAAAAATTAACATTAAGATGATAGGAAAAATAAAAACTAACATTAAGATTATACGAAAACGTTCATTTCTTGATTACGGTGATAAAATAATTTCTAGTATTATAAGATTTATTTAAGATAAAATGTAATGTATTCCTAGCAGAGGAGTAACCAGGGAGGATCCGTCCCCCAACCCATTGCAAATTTGCAGTTTTTGTAAATATAATTTTAAGCTAATAAAAATTTTCCCTTACCACCCCCACTCTCCTAAAAATGTAATAACAATATATAACTATAAAGAAGAATTAAAAGAAAAATTAGTAAGATGACTTTTTAAAATAAAGACTATATTGAGGAAACAAACATTTTTATAAAAAAATAATGCCAAAGGCCTACAATAAGTGAACCTAAATAGCTCCAATAAAATTTATGGAGGAAAAACTCGCCTAATAGTGCTCTCCTATAGGAAAATCCTAATTACGCGTATAATTCCTAGTTATAATAATATAACAGCAGCTGTACAAGATTAGGTTAATCTAAATAAAGAAATATAGCATAAAACTGATAAAAAAATTAGATTATATACTATTATATACCATTGGATCCAGGTAAGCCAGGTAATCCCATTATTCCATCAAAGCCCCTTTCCCCTTTTTGTCCAGATATACCAGGTAAACCATCTAAACCAGGGTTTCCAGAAGATCCCGGTAGGCCATCTAGTCCCAAATCACCTTTAGCACCTGATAAAAAATTATTTAATTTATTTAACAATAAGTCAAGTCTCAATAATAAAAATTTAATCAAAAAAACCAATTATGATGAATTTTAATAAGGGTACAAATAAGATTAAGGCATAGATTATTTAAATATTTATTTTTGTAAAATATACCATTGCTATACAGTATTCATTAGAAATCTGCAAATTCAGCATTTTTAAAAAATATTTTCAATTCATGATGGGGGCCTTATATTTTATACAAAAATTCGGGCCAGGCCGGGGCTAGCTTAAATTTTTAAATATAATATTATTCAATTTTGTGAAATAAATTAAGATATTTTAAAATTCTGAAGAAACAAGGCGTCAACATTTTTTATTTGTAGAATATGCTTTTTTACAATTAAAAAATATTAAAATTTTCTATATATTTAAATAAATTCGGCTGAGGCGGGCGGACAAATAATTGTTATTTATATTTCGGGTCTTTTCTAGACAAAAAAAAAGAAAATTAGTTCCAGATCTAGCCGGACAAATTTATTTTAAAAAATCCGGGCTTGTGAAAAATTAGGCCCCTTTGTAGATAACTTATTTTATGAATGATACAGGTGTGTCATCTCTCTTATAGAATTAAAAATTAAAGTGACAGAAATTAATATAAATCTGTAATTTTAGATTATAAGATGTAAGGTCTATACCTATTTTTCCTAATGCAAGACATTAACACGATATTAATTTTGTTAACATTTTAAATTTAATCTAATTTTATAAATTATCGTCTGTATTCATTGTCATTCCATGACCTGTTTTTTCACACCTCTAAGTATTTACAATTTAAAAATGAGTTTTTATTTATATAAACCTTGATTCAACACCAACTAACTTCTATATCAAAAATACGAATGTTTTACCAGGTATTCCTGGAAGTCCTGGTAGTCCATCTAAGCCTTGTCCTCCAGGTACACCGGATATTCCATCGAGACCCGGAAATCCAGGTAGGCCAGCATCTCCAACAAGACCTTTAAGACCATTCGCACCAGGAAATCCTTGTTCTCCCTTAAATCCCGGATTGCCAGATTGTCCTATCATAACATTTATTTATAATTCACATTTGTGTGGTATTTTATTATTCATTCCATTAAAGATAATTTATGATATATCAAAATTCTTAAAATCAATAATGGTTGGAATAATTTTTTTTATCAATGGATACCGGAAGGACCAGGGTAACCATCAGCTCCTGATGTTCCGGGTAAACCGAATCCTTGTTGACCAATATCCCCTTTGTCTCCTTTTAATCCGGGAAAGCCTGGAAGTCCATCTAATCCAGGTAATCCTTGTTGTCCGGGAGAACCCTCCATTCCTGGGAAACCTATTTTTTTTAAATTTATAAATAATTGTTATAATTCATTATGTAATCGAAGGCTTCTTTAAGTTGTAAAGAACAGATAATTTTTAAAATTTAAGATATAAATGGGTCATCCATGTCAAATGAGCAAGTAATATGAGATTTTCGGCCGACCCCCACCGAATTTTTTAAAATTTGGTAAGCTAAGAAAGATAATGTAACCAGGAATTGGCTAAAATTTTAGCCTCCTAACTATATAATTTTAAAGATGTTAGGGTTCAGTGGCAAAATGTGTATTTTTACCATTATCTGCCTTCATTCAATTACACATATCTTAAAAACTACACAATTGAAAATAACAAATTTTATATCAAAATTACGTACAAAAATATACTTTTAGATATGAAATCTTTTTTTTATTTTCCGATTCCCGGCCATATTTAATATAATAAAAAACGAATTTTCGGAAATAATACTACCTCCCATTTTTATATAAAATTTAGTTGACATTACTAAACTCCTCTTTTAAATTTACAAAAAAAATAAGTCTGGGACGCGGCCAGCTTCATTCTCAAAATCGTATATAAAAACATTTATCCATATGGATATTAATAAAAATATGTCCAATCAAGTTTAAAGTTTTTGTATGAATCAAAATCTTGTGTATTTCATATACACTTGATTACCGAGATACAGGTCTCAGAGGTGCAAAAAATTACGAATTTTGCAACTATAAAATTCTTAAATTCTTATATCTTAAAACCTATCTAAGGTAAAAAAGTAAAATAAATTTATCATCTTGTAAGTAAAAGAAATCTCTAAAGGTCATCGATAGAAAAAAAATTGGCGCCAATTTGAATCTTTAACCTCCGGTTTACTTTACGTATGAAATTTTTTCGCCTTTTATTTAGACACCTTTTATAAATATATATATATATATACTAGTGACATGGCGGCGCTATCGGCTTTACCGGAATATGCATTTTTTCCAAAAATGAAATTACAAAATAAATGGCCCTATACAATATTATGGATAGTTTACATTTTTTTTAAACTAAAATATTTATAATTTCATGGCCATTCCATGTCAATCGATCAAAAAAGGTCCATCCGACCCCTTTTAAAATTGTTAAAAATTGCTGGATTATTTGAATCGGTAAATAAGATAGCCGTTTATTGTATCTAGCGAGCACAAGTGATTCCCGAGTTACAGAGCCTTTGAGGTGAGAAAAATTACGATTTTCGCACTTTAAAAATTTAAAAATTGATCTCAAAAACTATTTAAGGCATGAATTATATAAATTGAATTTAAATGAAGGATAATCTATCGTTCAGGCAAATCTTTCAGATTATTTTGCCTTTATGGTTCAAGATGAAGCTTACAAAGATTAAGTTATCATTCATCCCTTTGTGATTTATTACAAGACAATAATATCGAAATCTCTCATTCATAATACAATCTTGTCCCATTTATTCCAAAAAGATTTAGTCCGCTATTTAACTTATTCAATTTCTAGAGATAAAATTGAAACGAAATTTTATTTAAATTCAACAGAATAGCAAATATTAACTATAACATTTCACTTGAATATTAATGCGATTCTAATATATGAAAAAATAAATGGATATATAACATCAATCTATGACAATCAATCGTGGATGGCCTTTTTTAGAAAAAAAAATTAGAAAAAGAGACGTTAGTTAGTTTCTTACATCCTCAAGAACCCCAAAATTCTTATACATATCCCTCTCTAAGTCACAGATTGTGGATACATAAAGCATAAATTTTAGATATATGATGTCCTTCAACTGCTACCTATATTTTACATAAAGTTATTTTCTTAAATATATATTATATTTATATCTACCTAAAATTGTCTTAAAATTTTAAATTTTGAAATCAATTTGATATTTGTATTTCTATATCATAAAATACGAAAGAGATTGATTTTGGAAACTTGATAGATTATTAAGATGTCTAAGGGGCATTCCACTGCCATTCGGTAATATTGGTACATTTAATAGAAATTCGAAATATTATAGTATAAAGATGAAAATATCATTGATTTTGTCAATGTTATTATTTTGACATTTAAATTATGTAATTATAAATATACAATTTTAAGATTATTCAATAATATTAATATGTGCCAAGTATAGTAACGTCGTTGCCCCTTTTCCAAAAAGGCAGGTTAAACTAAAAGCGTTATTGTTAAAAATAACAAATTAAAATAACGCGTTATTCCTTTTTTTAAAGTGACTCGTTTTATTATTTAAATATAAAATGGCGAATATTCAAAGTTAATATGTATGTTAATCATAGACAACCTGATCCTGTTTGACTAAACTACAAATACCTAGGTAAACTGCAAATGCCAAATTAAACTGCAAATGCCAAGTTAAACTGCAAACGCCAAAGTAAACTGCAAATGCCAAGGTGAACTGCAAATGACAAGGTAACTGCAAATGTTTAGGTAAATTTTTTAATATATTCTCTATTCATTGGAATGAGATTTATTTTCTTATGATATAAATAACTTATAAAAATAAAATTATTAGATATATTCAATTATAAAGAAATTACATAAATAGTTGTAAATATGCCAACTTGCGGATTTAATATCATTGAAATGTAAACAGTATTATAATTATTTTTAATATAATTATATTAAAGGATTTAAACCAGGGGTTCGAACAACCCGGAAAAGAAAACCCGAGTCTTTAGGAAAAAAATCTGAACCCGAACCCAATCTGAACCTCGTTTATAAAATTTTCAAAACCCCGAACCGAAGCCGGGAATTTTATTTGAACCCGCGTTTAACCGTGTTCAGTGTATTGTTTAAATTAATATAAGATATTTATATAATTGTAAATACAAATATTAATAATTTACTTGACATTTTATATTATTTTATTTCCAATTAAGTGAGTGAAGTGTTAATAAATTTTAAGCAACTTAATCCCTTTACTCCATTTTTAAATTTTTTTAAAATTTATTCTCAAAGATTCCTATTGGATTGTTAATAAATTTTAAACAATTATAAATTAATTTACGCCATTTATTTTTAATTTTTAACTTATTCTCAAATATTGTTAATTGTAAGAAATAAGTCTAAATAATTTTTTTAAATCTATGCATGACTATACTTTATATTTTTAACTATATTTTCCTATAAATAATATAAAAAATTTATTTTTATACCAAATTTATGTCTAGTTTTTTTTATGATTTAAATATAGAATATTTTTTTTATCAATTCAAAAATTCTTAAACCCGAGATGAACCCGGAACCAAACCCGGGTTCAAAACTATTCCCTTAACCGAACCCGAACCGAACCCGGGCAAAAATTTTGCCGGGTTCGCATCCCTAAACTATTTATTATGAGATAAACTATTAATGTATTATTGAATATATATATAAATTTAATTTTTATAAGTTATTTATATTATAAGAAAATGAAATAGAGTATATAATCAAAAAATTTTACCTAAACATTTGCAGTTAGTGTTGTTAAATGGCTCGTTTTGAGCCGATTTTTAAAAACTAACTCAATATATTAGCTAGAAAAATATTGCCTAAGTCTAGAAATTTCGATAATATATATCTTGACCTTTGTTCTTTCTATGAACAAAATCTTCAGGCTTGCGTAATATTTTTCTTGATGAAATATTGAGTTAGCCGTTTTTAAAGATCGGCTCAAAACAAGCCATTTAACAACACTATTTGCAGTTTAGTCAAACCCCCTCATTTATATTAATTATATATATATACTGTTGGGTATAGTAATACTTACCAGGGACAAGAACCCTACTTCTAAAAAATGGGTTCGGGTTTGGATTCAGTGAAAAATCTCTGGGTTCAGGGTTCGAAAACCAGAAAAATAATAACTTATTAAAATTAGTTAAATAACAGAAACATCATATTTTTAAAAAATTAAATTAGTATCGCCATAAAAATAATCTATCATCAATTATAATATATTATATATAATAAAATACTACAATATAATTTAAAAAATAACATATATTTCTTTTTAAAATATTTTTACGAAAAATGGCAGACTATTAAATATAACAAAAATAATTACACGAAAAAATGATCAAAAAATGTATTTGTTTTAAATAAGAACTCTTCATAATTAGGAAATCTTCAATAAATAAAATCTAAAATAAATAAAATGAAAGTTTAGAACAAAAAAAATAAATTTTAAAATTAAAAAAAAAGCTTGAACCCTGTGGAACCCTAAATTTTAAAAAAAGGGTTTATACTCAGCGAAATATTGGTGGTATCAGTAACTCCTATTGTACAACATGAGGATATGAGAATATTAAAAATGGCAATTTTCAAAAATGTGATAAATTATACACATATCAATGCATTTTTAAATACAAAAATTCATAAAATTGAGTTTGAAAAAGATATTAAATATAAATTTCTTAGAATAAAATATTTTATAATAAAAATATAATTATACTCTAAATATTTCTATAAATTTTGTAAAGTAAATAAATATCATTTATTTCATATGTGGAATATACCATCTAAACCAGGATAACCAGGTTCTCCTCTATCTCCCTTTAATCCATTAAATCCGGGAAGTCCATCCAACGGTTGTATTGAGCTAGCAGTACCGGGGTCTCCAGCTTCTCCTTGAAAAAAAATGTATTTAATAGTGTTTGTTATAGCGAAAATTACCCTTTATCCCTTGAAATCCAGGTAATCCGGGGGGACCTTTAGGCCCTGGATATCCATCTAAGCCTGGAAATCCATCATTTCCAGGATCGCCTCTAGGTCCTGACAATCCTATTTTTTTTTAAAATATTCATTTTTTTAATAAATAATATTATAACAAACCCTTTTGTCCTTGGCTTGTGGATAAAGAATCGTATCCAGGTTCCCCAGGAAGTCCTGGAAGCCCATCTAAACCAGGTCTCCCATCTTCCCCTGGAAATCCGGCTAATCCAGGAAAACCATCTTCACCTCTAAGGCCTTTTAATCCGGGATTTCCTGGAAGGGCTCTTCCAATCACAGCACCTAAAAATAAATGTATTTTTTATAAATTTATCTAGTATCCGCTATAAATTTTATGTTTAAGTTGCATAATATCATGAAGATAAATCAGAATGATACAATTGCTTAAGTTTATGTTGCTTTTTAAAATTTTTGTTGATATAATAATTAATATATTTAGATTTAGAATCGAATGGATCTTTTTTAAGACACATTTTGCATATAATTTGTATTTTATACCCGATCCTGGTTAGAAATTTTTAAATATAAATATAAATTAAATGCATTCTTATAAAATTAAATTCGCTCTTTGCCTTAATCCCATAGAAATTCAAATTATCGCTTTATTTTATTAATAGATTATTTTCTATTTTTAAATATTTTTATGTTTGGAACAAAATAGGGAAGAGTCAAATACATGATAATTTAAAGGACGCATATATACGAATGGAGATAAAACCCAAATCATTAGAATAATTATAAAGACACATAAGGGACATTTCAAATTTAAAATAACGTTCAACTTATCACGAGTCATACATCTAACCAATGTACAAGCAGTCTTAAAAATTTTGCAGTGATTTGCATTAAAGTCAAATTAACAAAAATAAGATTCCTACCAGATCAGGTTTTATTCTTAGGGAAAACATAAACAAATCGGAGATATAACTAATCCTAGAAATGTCAAAACAATAAGTGATGACAAAAATGGTAACTTTTTAGGACTGATGAGGTAAAAATGTTGTTCAATACTTTAGTTTTAAGGGATTGGAAGGAAGGATCAACTTACAGCATATCATATAGCATAGTTCAAAAATATTGTTCAGAAAAGTATGAAACTCAAATTGACAAGGAGGTACGTGCCTTGCTCTTTGGAATAAAGAAATTTCACCATCTCCTATAAGATGGTTTTGGTTGATAATGATTCATAATTAGTTCCCTATTTGGAAAAAAAAGATCTACCAAAAATATCAACCAACCGTCTAACTCAATAGGCCTTGAAAATAACTAATACAATTAAAATATTTAATATAGGCCGAGAAAAGAAAATACCGTGGCGTATGTCTAAGATAAGGATGCTAAACAATATTCATAGTTAGCATTCTATTAGATTTAATGTGCTTGTAGACTAAATGTGAAGAAGGAATAGAGCAATACGTGAAAACTGGGTGTCAAGTGGAAAGATAGGAAATATCCTGCGAAAATGAAAATATTTTATCCAAATTTCAGCCTTTGTATTTTATTTCTCATAACTTTGATATTTATTTATCTCTTCATGTTTTTAGGAAATTATTCAGGTTTGTACTTTCATTTATTTTTGAAATTGTTCTTATTAAATTGTTAAATATTTAAGATACGTCCTAGTGGGATTCTATCGTGAATATTAAAATACAAAAGTTGAATAGGAGAAAACAGAAAAAGTAATATATAGAGTATAGTATTTAAAAATATATTGGACCTTTTTTAATATTAATTAAAATAACTCAGAAAACTTCAACTGGAGGGAAACTTATTAAATATTATTATGATAGCGATAATTTGGTATTTATTTAAGGTGGAAATGAAGATGAAATCAAAAGGATTTTAAAATGTACAATATAAAAAATTAATACCTGGTTCTCCAGGTATTCCAGCTAACCCGTCAGATCCCGGAGCACCTGGATTCCCGGGAGACCCTTGTATGCCTGGGGTTCCAGAAAGACCATAACTTGGTTCTCCTTTTTGACCTGGTAATCCTGGTAATCCTGCCATTCCTACGAAACCATCTTTTCCAGGAAATCCAGCGCCACCCTAATTATTTAAATGTAAAAAAATATTTTAAACCGTTTATTTAATATAATGTCTTTAATGCATACTATAAATTTAAAAATCAACATTCTAATCAGATGTGAGATAAACTGTTTTTTTATCGAAAGAAATAAAGATTGCATATTAGGGTAATTCCATGACAAATCGATCCAGTTACTCGGACTACCATTTTTTCAAATGAAACTTGCTATGAAGGTTAAATAGATTGTATATTTTATATAAATCCAAATTTTGAATTCAAAGTTTGATGAGAGTCTTTTCCTCTTTTAACTAATCTCAAAATATTATATTAACTTTTTATTGTTCAAAAATATGCATTTTTTAAAAAATTTCTAGTGTATTATATGATAATTTTAAAGAAATATTAATGGTTTTTATAATATAAAATGCATATTCTTATTTATAAAATGCATATAAAAACTTTTATTTATTTCTAAAATATAAAACCTATTTTTTCTTATTTTCAACGTTATTTTACATATTTAAATATATTAGTAATAAGCATATCTGATGAGTTTCTTCGTTTCAAACGCCCTATTGATTTTTTTATTCATAAAATTATAAAAAACTAAGTAAAATTTAAATTCTTAAATATAATGGTAATAAACAAATTTCATGAGTTTTATCGTTTTAAATTGGGCACTTTTCAAAAAATTTTCTTGTTTTCCCGGTAATACATCGACAATAAAGATATTTTTTTTAAAAAAATAATTTTCATAAAGAGAAATTTAAGGGCTACAATATGATATCATATATTCTTTGAGTAATTTGAGATTCGTTAAAAGAGGAAAAAGGCCTCATCGAACTTTGAAGTTCTATAACTTGGGACATATTTGAGATAGGAAATTAAAATTTTGATTTGTATAAAATATACAATCTATTTAACCTTCATGTCCCACACGTTATTTCAGTCGATTTGTCATAGATAGAGATTATTTACTTAAATAAAATAATTGCATTGATAAAAAAAATTAAAACAAATATATATGTATTTTATTATGATAATCAAATAGAAATTTTTAATAAGAGAAATTGTTCGAGGTTAAAATAACTCGCTTGCCAATCATCAATAATCAAATTAACATCCGAATTCGACACTTAGAAGAAGTCAGTATCAGGGCCGAGTCACCTCTGCCCAACATGCCTCGTACTTCTTTTGTTTGGCAAAGGGATTAGGATACCCCTGTTGAAATAAAAGTCGATAACATCGAGCTTGAACGAGTTACGCGTGTTGATATCTTAAATCGATGAATATACTAACTTTGCTTAAAATCGAGATTTAATCCCCATTCAAAATTATTGAGAAGTGGCGCTATCTCAAAGAAGATATTTTATATTTATAAAAGATATTTTGATTAATTATTTAAATCATTATATAATGTTTAATTTATATTTATAGTTATAATATTTTTTAACAATACATATTTTGTATTTTCCAATATTTTATTATTTGTGTTCGAATTTTCATTTTTAATATGATTGTTTATAATAAATTTTAAGTTAATAAATTTCTAATGTTCAAAAACATTTATTTCAATATGAAAAAATATTGCCCCCCCCCCCTTACCCGTAGAAAATGCATGGTAAGCGCATGACTTATAACAATAAAAATAAAAAATAATGATCACAAAACTAACATTTCATAAAAATTTATAAAAGTACTGAAGGTTTTAATTATTTGTTGAATATATTGCATATCAATTTTAGCAAATATAAAATGCCATAAAAAAATATTTTGTCGATTTAAAGGTCTTAATTACATAATATTATTAAAAATTAGACTGAATAATAGTTCTATCATTGTGCTATACATTTAGAATGCCTCCCATCGGAGGCTGTTCATCAAACCGAGACTACAGTGTTTCTAGCCAAATTTTCCTTAAACAAGATGAATGGACATACCATTAAACCTCCATCCATTCAAGAAATGGTATTAAATAATCTCTTTTACTATCCCCAACTCAACAAATCCTAAAAAATCTATTCCTTATATAGGTAATTCCATACCAAATCGATAACTTTTCAGCTCGACCTTTTTAATTTCGATAAAATTTTGTATACTGAGAGAATATCATTAGAAAGCATCGAATCCAAAATTTTAGCCTCCTAGTACTCATATTTCCTGAGATATCAATGGTCAAAAGTGCCAAAAATGACGTTTTTTCGAAAAATGCGATTTTTTAAAATTGAGATAAGTTAAAAAATAATGATTTTAAAAATATAAGTTATGTGTCAATTTATAACTCTATTAAGGGCCTTTTATTGAATATTAAAAAATTTTTCAAAATAATATTGTTGCGGTTTTTATTTAAGTTATAAATTTTAAACATGAAAATTCCAAGTGTTTCGCTTTCCAAATTTTTTTGAATTTAATATTTTCTTATTCTCTAACCTTATATCTATTCATAAAAAAAATTTAAACTTGGGACAGCCATGGGTTTTTTAGTTATTGCGATTTAAAAAATCAAAAAATAAATATTATTTTCAAAAATAGATGGCGCTCCTTTATAAAATTACGCGTTTTGTTAAAATTATTATTTTTTTTAAACTTTTTTCCATTTTAAACATAAATAATAAGATTTTCCAGCATTAATATTATGAAAATATATTATTTAGATCATTTGATAGACTACTTATTATTATTACTTTATTGATAACTTGTAAAAATTATTAGTTTTTAAAATAAATGATTAATTTCCTAAAAAGATAATTACAATTCCTATATAAGAAAATATAATTAATTTTTGAAAGATAATAGCAAGTTTTCATGCACCTGCCTTGATATTAATTAATTTTTATTTTACAAATATTTCAATATTAATTTTTTCTTAAAATTATTTATAATGTATAAATATAAATGTGCAAATCCTTTTAAAGAATCTAAACACTTTAATTGTAAAAAGAACCTGCGTAAAGTCACGACGTGGATGACACAATTTCCAAACATTGAGGCAGAACACTATATTTGTGATAAATGTCGTAAGGGTTTATCACAAAAAAATATTGAAAATATAAATTCTGATAGCGAATATGTAAATAATATCCCCACAGCATCCGCATCAATAGATACAATCAATTTAACCTTAAACGAAATTGGAATATCTCCTATTAAGAAAAAAAAACTAACTGAAAAAAATTATCCAAAAAAAAGATAGCAAAAATATCAAAAGCTCTTTCAGATATAATAATTAACAATCCAGAATCGGACACAAAAGACAATAATGATATTCTCAACAATATGAAATTACATTATCCTAATTTATCTAAAAAAAAAATATCAATTGCTGACCATTCTGCCTCCTAATTGGAGTGCAAATAAAATAAAAACGGAATTCAACGCTACATATCATATGGCATATAATTCCAAAATCATTTTAGAAGAAAAGGGGATTCTTTTAACTCCAAATCGAAAGCCTGCAAAATATCTCAATCAAAAAACAGTTGATATTGTTTAAAGTTTTTTTTGCAGTGATGAAGTTAGCAGGGTATTACCAAGAAAAAAAGATTGCATATCTATCATTGAAAAGGGGGAACGAGTGAACGCTCAAAAAAGGCTAGTTCTTAATAATTTAAAAGATTTATATAATCATTTTAAGGAGAGTAATTCAAGCATAATAATTGTATTTTCGAAATTCGCAAGCTTAAGACCAAAAAATTGCATATTGGCAGGGGCTAGCGGAACACATAGTGTATGCGTTTGTAGCATACACCAGAATATTAAACTAATGATTTTAGGCTGTGAATTAGCAACATTGACTAAAAATGGTGAGGACATATTAACAACTTATAGAGATGTTATAGGCAGAATGATTTGCAACCCCCCATTACCAATCTGTTATTTTGGTGACTGTAGCGAGTGTCCTGGCTCGACACTCTTAAAAGAACGCATTGAAAAATTATTTATAAAAAATGATATAGCTCTTATTACGTTTAAACAATTGGTTTCGGTAGATAGAACTCTGGAGACTTTCTCAATCTTCAGACGAATTTATTAATTATTTTTTCAATAAAATAAATATTCTCATACGCCATTCATTTATTTGTGAACAACAAAGTTCATTTCACAATAACCTTAAAAATAGTTTAGAAAATAATCACTATCTAATTATTTGTGACTTTTCAGAAAATTATTCCTTTATTGTCCAAGATGAAGTAGGGTTATCATTGGACAACTTCGCAAGCTACGCTGCATCCATTCTCAATTTATTATAAAATAGGAAATCTAATTAACAACCTAAGTTTTGTGGTAATATCGGAATCCTTAATTCATAATACTGTTTCATTCCATTTATTCCAATCGCATTTGATTAATTTTTTAAAAAATAAATTCGACACTCCACCAGAAATAATTTACTACTTTTCTGATGGTTCAGCTGCTCAATATAAAAATAGGAAAATCTTCATCAATGTTTGTTACCATGAAATCAATTTTGGTGTCCAAGCAGAATGGCATTTTTTTTCTACGGCACATGGTAAAAGTGCCTGCAACCGCATAGGCGGCACAGTAAAAAGGTTAGTTGTCAAGGCAAGCTTACAAAGACCTTATACTGATCAAATAATTACACCTTTATAATTTTATAAATATGCGGAAGAGCATATAAAAGGTATAAATTTTTCTTATGCCACCATACCAGAGTATGAGGAAGAGATGAGGCTACTTGAGAGATTTAGTAAAGCTATCTCAATACCTGGGACACAAAAAATTCACGCAGTGTTTCCGATTGGTTAGAGATGAAATAAAAATTAATTTTCTTCATCCTAAAGGACCAGCAAATTCTTTTGTTTATCCAGCGGCACAAGATCTCCTTTACATACCAAAAAATAATATTTTAACAATAATTAACCCATCAACGGCTACTGGGCGTACATATAATCTATCGTAAAACGAAATTATCATGGCGTCAAAACAATTAAATTTAAGGAAAACCCGAAAATAAGTAATATCTTTCATGAATTTTTATTTATCTATTATATTTACAAAT